TGGCTTCTTTTCAGTTTAGAGTAGAGTAGTCAAAAGACCATGTCTGTCTAATTGGCTGTAAATGCAATCAGGCTAAAAGTGCTTGTCTTCTCTTCCCACCTTTCCCAGCAGGATGATGGAAGGTATGAGCAGCTTATTATTGGTAACTTGGTGATCCACTTGTCTTGGGGAAAATAAGCAGTTTGCTCCATGGGCAAAATCTTAATGTGATATTATTACTGTAGATTGGCTGAGCTGTAGACATTGAAGAATTGCATTAATATTTGCTGTGCTTGGATTAGCTGAATTGGCAGTGTATTTAAGTAGGGACTTGGTCTTTTTTATTATTTACTTAATCATATTTGTAATTTACTGTGGCTCAGTACTCAGCATGATTTTTAATTGTCTGAGGGAGACTGTTAATTTTACAAATGAGGTGGAATAAGCATGTGTAATATTACAGTCCTGGCTTTATAGGAGAGGGTGTTGTTTTGTACGCATTGCTAAGCTTTATGGTATTCCCCTTACTACTGCACCAGTATGGGTCTTATTAAATTTTTAGAAGTTCATTTGCCAGTAGTTACTAGGTAGTCCTCATTTCTGTATTTATGACTATTTTGCTGTAATTTCGGTAGCAAATACATCAGGTTCCTGCCCAGTGCTTAAGAAGGACAGTGATTTACAATGCACTAAGTCATATTCTGAAAGAGACCTCTTCTGAACATCTGAGGTTATCTGCTGTTTGCTCCCCTAGGCACCTTCATAGAAAGGGTTCACTAAATATAAAGCCCCTCTAAGTATGCATTTCTAATGAATCAGGCTTGAGCTGTTAAAGTAGGTCAGTGTCCTGATACTGCTTACAGAAAAATGGATAGTCATGCTCTTTCACTAAGAGTTACTTTTTACGTAATAAAAATATGGTGGGGGGAAAGGGAAGAAACATAACCATGGGAAAAAAAAAAGTCAGGTAAAAATTTGATTCATCTCGTTTACACTGTATCTTTGCTAAATCTGCGGGATGGCAGAACCAGAGATGTGTAAAAATACATCATGTAGAAGAGAAATCAAGTGGCTTACTAAGTAGTAAAACACTTGCCTTTCACTTTTGCATTGAAACTTAGTTTAATGGTAATGCTCATGCTGTGAATTGGTGTTCTGTGCAGGAGTGGTACAGATGTGATTAGAGTCTGTTTCTTAGAATTACAGAAATGTAGAAAGGAATTGGAGGTGGTCATCTAGTTAAAGCCCTGCTGAAGCAGGGCTAATGTTAAAATTACATCAAGTTGCTGAATACAAGATGAGACTTGAACGAGTCTCAGTCTTGTTCACCTGAGTGTTCAGTATCTCCCCAGAGGGGGATACCACAGCCTGCCTGGGCATCTGTTCCAGATTATTCTTTGTTCCTGTTCTTCACCACACTTTTTCCAGGTGTCTTTCTGACCAAATCCAGCTAGAAACACATAGTGGCTAGTTAAGTTACCATTTCCCACCTAAAAGATGGGTTTAGAGACTGCTTTTTGTAAATGATCTTCCATACAATACCTGGGTAATTTGAGTCACTGTTCTGTGCTAAAACTGAACTGGAAACTGGGGGTTTAAGATAAGTGTGACTCCTGCTGTGTTCGTGAGTACTGGCTGTGAAGCAGTTTCAGGTCAGTCTGTTGAGAGAAAAGTCCTAATGTCATCTTATTTCATAAAAAGCAACAGTCTGAAACTAATCAAAGGGACCTGATACCCTACAGTTTGTACTTTTGTACTTCCCTTAAATGTCAAAGTGTTGTAAATGTATCAGTCTAAAAAAGCAACACTTGAATCCTCTCTACCTTCTATTTAATTGCCCTCTTTTTCCTGAATGCCATATGGGGATGTGAATGCACACTACTTGTTGGTTGTGCCATAAAAAGATCATAAAAATTGCTTCAGTGTCAAGGTCAGAAGTCCTTTTGTCCCACGTCCTGTTTCATGCATCAGAGACCAAAAGAAATAATATAAGAACATGGCAAACAAATGCTCTTAGCCTCCAGGTTTCTTGAACTTTAGGTCTTTCTGAGCTTTATGTTTCTGAACATTTACAGTTAGCCACATTCAGGAGATTTAATATCCTTTCCCACAGCTGCCCAGACTTGTCTTGAAGGCCTGGTTTGATGTTGGTGACCTCCTGTGGCAGCGAGTTCCACAGCACAACTACACTTTGCAGAAAGAGCCACTTCCCTTTCCTCATTTCTTATGCTTTCTTTCGTTCTATGACTCTGGTTCTTAACCAGCTTCATTTGATGTCCTCTAGTTCTTGCATTGGGAAGAATGAGGCAGTGAAAAAAATTGTTTTGCTAACCCTGTCTATGCCGGTCATGTTTTCATAATGTTCATGGACCAAAAGACTCTTCATGGACCAAAGACTCTTAGCCTGTTCATTTGTTCCTCATGCAGAAATCATTCTGTACCTTCCATCATCATCTCACTGTTCTGTGAACTTTTTCTGATTGTATCTCCCTGATTAAATAAAAAATAGAAAAAGTGGTCAGAGAAGGCTAGCATGCATGGACATTCACGAGTAAGAAGGACCAGAAGCAAAAAGGGATGAAGAAATAAGCAAATCTTAAAAGTGTTAAACCAATATTGCTTTTGGGCTGTTGATGTGGATAATGCCCTATGTAGTACAGAGCATAAAGTACACTAATCCGTGACTATCCCTGAAAACTGTATTATATAAATTTATAATATATTTTTGCAGAAAGTTCCTGTCAAATTTTCTTTCCCTTTTTACATTTTAGGCAGTGGTTTACAGTGTGCTTAACACTTGTGCAGTGAAGGTAATACCTTTACATTGCCTGGGCTCAGTGTCTCTGTCATCACTAAATCTAACAAGTTAAAATTTCTCTTGTTAAAGTGAATGCTGTCAGCTAAGAAAAACCTATTTGAGCCCAACTTTTGCAAGGTTCTCAAGCAAACCTTCAAAGTTGAGAGTTTCGGTTTGGTTCAGAGAAGTCCTTACAACTAAAGGCGCTGTGTAATGACCTGTCCAGTTTGATCCTTTAGAGATTTATCTTTGAAAGCTCCCTAAAGGAATCTTGTATGAACAAATCAATCCAGTTTACTTGATACCATTAAGTGTAATTTGTCGATTTTATACTCTCAAGGAAAATCTGAAATAGTTATGATGTAGCCAATATAGTAATCAAATTAAGGCCTCTCTCAAAAGGCATCCTGTTAACTGGAAATCTCTGCATTTCTGAAATTATTTAAAAGTAATTTCTGGTTCTGCACCCCTCTCTTGTTCCCAGCACCTGTCTGATGGTTTTACCATCACGTTTCCAGCTTTAAACTTACATTTCTCCCCCTTCTGACAGAAAAACCTTCACAACCAAGAAAGAAAAGTGATTTAAAGACCAACTCTACAGAAAGAATTAGAAAGTTAGTTTAAGACTTCAGCATATATAACTCAGGGGTGGTTATATACCTCAGGGAAGAGTCAGCCATCAATGCCAGCTATGCGCAAAGTGCTGTAATTGCAGAACTAGTGGAAGGTGTTTCTGTTCTGACACTGATTCCAGAGACTCTGAATGGCAGAATTTAGTTTGTGTTGGAAACAGGTCTCAAAATAAATGAAAAGATAGTTAACAAAAGGCAGGCTGCAGCTTCATGAATTTGACTGCTTCTGAGGTTAAGGAATTCCCAGAAATAAACCTGTCTTGTGTATGGAGGCTATCCCTGTCCTCTTTGTGGTTATTTGGAAAAACTTCAATCCAAAGCTTGATGTGTTACTAAAATGTGCATCCCATTTCCAAAGGAGTTAATTTAGCCTATTGGAAGTGAGACATCAGACTCTCTGATTGGGTTCTCTTCTGCCTTTATAAACATGGGTTTGTAATATTTGCAATAAGGCTATTTTTGCTCTGAACATTTTTACTTGCAGTTTCTGACAACTAGTGCCCAATAGTTAGCTGTGGTCTGTGTAAAGGTGTTTCTTTGAATAAACATCAAGGCTGTAAAATAATGTAGGAATTTTCAACACATTAAACAAGTTATTGTACTGATTGTACTTCAGTATAATTTGAGGCTAGTGTCAAAGCTCACTTAGCCATATGCCTTTTCCTCTCTTTTAATTCTTTTCAGAGAAAGTTTGATTGGAGCTGTTAACTGCATTTATAAGACAAATATTTGCACTTGTTCTCGCTTGTACTTATTAATTGTTCACAAGAGGGGAAAAAGAGCCGCAAACATAAAAACAGGGAAAAAAAATCCAGAATAAAATAGGCTAGACCTTTAAGTGGTAAGAAACAAAACCTGAAATAGTGAGATGACTCATACAGCTCAAATACAGAGCACAGAGGAAAGCCATTTTCATTAGTCTCAGTAAGTAGAACTGGAGAACTAAAAGGGAGAAACTTGTATATCATTTTCCTTACCAGAGAAATAAAATTACTTGGAAATAACTATTTTCAGTTCATATAATTTAAAAAATTCATATATTTAAATGTGCAGTGATTTGCACTTGCAGTTTTGTCCATCAGCAATTGAATGCTGGTGAGGAAGCACCATGTATACATCTGGGTGGTGGGTCAAGTTTATCACCATTTCCAGTTGCTTCACCAGAGGCAGCAGGACTGTATGGTGCTTATGTAGTGTGAGAAAAGGCTGTAGGATGATGAGGTTGGTGGAGAGGTGAGCTTGCAGAGAGTCAGTAGATTTACTGAGGCAATCACGTGTAACTAGTCTAGTCTACATATCTTTTTGTAAAAGAACTGACAAACTCTTTCTGTGTTGTGCAGGGAGAGTAAAACATGTGAGATGGCATCATAAATGCAACATTATACAATCTAAATATTTGGGGATTTTGTCCTTTTTTTCTTGCAGGGAAGAGAGCGTGGTACCATGTGAAAATTTTGCCATGGACCATTGATATAAAGACTATCAATCAATATTGCTGTGCTTTTAATTAATAAATATTTGCTTGCCATGTTAATATTTTTTCCTTGTTTCAGGCTAGTAGTTTTAACTGCTACACTTTCATTCCATTTCAGAACAGTCAAGCATCCAATATTGGAACTGACATCTGAATTAAGTGTGCAAAAAAACCTCTTCCCACTTTAACTATTGAAACATCTAAAATGGAAAACTGACTAAAGGAGGTGAGTCCTTTCTTCTTATTCTCTGATTGTTCTCCTTGATCTGTTTCTGCATCACTTTCGTTCATTATTTTTTTTCCCAGATTTACTTCTAATAGGCAGGAAGCCAAATGATTGCAAATTCTGAACTGCTCTAATGGAAATGAAGGTAGCCTGATCACTTACTATTTTGGCTTAGAAAATCATATATGTAACAACTCATCTTTGTACTTATCTAGATCTGCAGGCTGCAGACAGTGTTAGTATCAGGTGTCTCTTAACATTGTGAGTCTGATATGAACATAAAAATGTAGCACACAAACTTAAATGTTGAGTAGATCCTCATATGGCTAAACGTGACATAGGTATGGAGCAAGTGTAGACAATATGAGAGGAGAGGACTGATTTGGCCTGGAGGATTATATAAATAAGGAATATCAGAGACAAAAATGACAGAATGATAGAAGCAACATTGAAATTACTTGGAGAAGCTCTGGTAGGGAAACAACTTCTTTTCCACAGCATCCACATTTTTTTTTACACTAAGAATTGCAAAAAAGGCATGACTTTAATGACTTGGTGCACATACAGAAGATAAACTGACCTTAACCTAGAGCAGCTCTAGCTTCTTGAACGCAAACTGAATAGTGGTGAAATATCTATGTATAGTGAATTACAGGTTTTTCACAAAGTTAATCATATTGAAACAAATTAAAATCAACAGTTCCATATTCTGTTTCTTTGTTACCACATGGCAGACTTAAATATAACTGCTCTAGGAGCAGGTAAAGTATTTCTAATTTATATTTCTTTTTTAAAAGGTGGTCATGCTGCTTATGATTTTATACGATTTTAAAACTAATTCTTAGAAGTATGCCATATTCAACTCTATAGCTCACTAACAATCAATTTAGCTATATTGTTAAATTAATATGTTCATTATAAAATTAGTATATCAGGATTAGTTAGGTGTGGTACTTGACTTGAACTTGTAAATTTCACTGTGCATAAGTTTAAGATATTGAATTAAATGTTTTACATCTCTGGAATAATCTTTGTATTACTCAAGAGTGATCCTTATTAATTGTTTTCTCTTTTATGTAAAATATATCCATGGATAACTCAAAAATTTAATTTCTTGCAATAAGGATGTTATGTAATTATCCAGCAATAACAATTGCTTTTTATTTTAGAAAACATACTAGCAGCGGAGAAAATGGCAATGCTGCTTCAACTTTTTCATAGCCATAAAACTGTGTCTATGATGATGTATTATATGTAATATATATATATACATGAATCCATATATTACTTATATAGCATACATATACATCCTTATACGTTGCAAGTATATGTTTCCAAGGACATGCACATTAAATAAAGTGGTGCATTTTCTTTGCAGAATAGGACTTGGAACTAGCATGTGTTTCATTTTCACAGTAATACATTTACCTATCATTTACATACATTTATTTCAATTATTGTGTGCTTTCATTCTCAAAAAAAATCTATCCCCTCAGTTCTCTGTGGTTTTGGTAAAACAACTCTATCCATCATTCCCAGCATTCAGTTTCTTACAGCTGCACTTAACTTTGGCTGTTTTATGCACCTGGATCTGGGGATGTGTCTTTTAAAAGAGTCAAAGAAATTAAGAATGATATAGTAAGAATGCTATCTTAATAGTAATCTATTAAGTCATCTCTGCACAATTTAGGAAATACCAAAATGCATGTTGTAGTTAACACGTATCACAAGAGATACTTTCCAACAACAATCTCATGTATAATTTTTTGCCTCTAATTTTACTTGAAGTTCACCTGGGTATTGGTGGTTTCCTTTTTTAATGGTTAAGAAGTAAATTTGTGATGTAATTATATCATTAAATTTCACTCTTTTTAGGACATTTTATAGAGTCCACCTATTGAGTTGATCTACCCAGTTTTAGATAGGGTACTTAAGATTTTGAATAGGGGATTTGTGTGTATATATATATATATATACTGACACAGACAGTCCTAATAAAGCAACCCTCTGCTTACTCGCAAGAAGCAAAAGCATCACCACTTGCAGGCAAAATAGAGACTTTTTTCACCGAGTGCTGGAAGAGGTGTCAGGGAATTCTTTCAATATAGAGGATTGTATTGAACGATGCAGAAGGAGGTGATTTGTTGTTTTTTTTTTTTTAATTGTAAATTCATTGTTAGAACTACACAAAAAAAAAATCATACTTTTTAAAATAATTTGAATGGACAATGAAAGAACACTGTTTCTGTTAGACTTCCTATTTGTTTATTGCCCTTCCTGTAAAGGGGACTTTTTGCTTGGTGCAAAAATGCGAAGTAGGGCCGTAAGAAACCCCTTAATGAAGAATGCAAAAGAAAACATTATGTTACTGAAGAAGGTATTTCGATTAATGATACACTTATTAGAAAGAACAGGGTGCGGTCCATTTGTTTCAATAAGGAATGTATGCGTTGTGGATTTTGTTTAAGGGACATGCAGATGGAACTCCAATATGCCATTAAATCAAGATATGTTTATCAGCAGAGAGAAGATTACTACACTTTGGAAAAGTCAGATAAGGAGAATCTATATGAAATGTGTTAGGGACACAGAAGAAATTGAACTTTAATGAGACCAAACAAAAGGAATATAATTAATTCTCTGCAGGGAGAATGAAAGAAATTTAAACCTTGCGGTCTCCCTGTCTTAGTGGAGAAATAGGATAGGGAAATAGGATGGTGAATGCTTTTGTGTGGTCTAATTAGGCAGCGGTCTCGTGCTCTTCAAAATATTGTTTCTTAGAAAGAACACAAGACACAGAGAACAAATTATCAGTTAAAAGATACAATGATCTTTGATGCAGTACAAGAGGAAGTGTAAGGTATTTTACTAATAATGCTGGGGTGAAGGTAACTGTAATGAGAAAAATTAGAAGTATTGCCTCAGGTAAAGTACACTGAAAAGACACAAAAGCTTAGATGAGAAAAAGGTAGTGTAATCAAATATAAAAAGAAAACAGCTTTCAGGCGCTAATTGAAAACTAATCATGGCTTGCTTGGGGTTTTTTAAACTTTTTTTAAAAGGCAAGACTTTATGTTAGAGTTTGAATGCTAATTCCCTGATTGGGTATACAAAACCTATAAATAGGAAAAAGAAACTAAAATGGCAGTGAAATAGTTGAATTCTGTATTAGATTAAAAAAAAAGTTTCAAATAAAAATATATTTCATATATTCTACTTCCTTCTGTACTTACGGGAAAACCAAGATCAAAATAAAAGATGTGGATAACTCTTTTAAGCAACAGTATGTCAGCATCAGCCTGATGAGATGTTCAGAGCTAAATGCATTTTTACATCCAGTGGCAAATTGGAAGTCCAGGGAATATCCATAATGTTTTGGGATGAGCTTGGATGCTGAAATTACTCCTGGGAATTCCTTAGATTTGAGTGCCATAGTGACAACAGTAATGCTATAACTCTGAAAAGTCACCATCTGTGAAGGCCTAACGGAAAATGGAGTTGTAGTATGTAGGTGGACAAAAGATCAAAACCTGCAGAGAGCGGTACTGAGGTATGGAGTAAAATACTGTATCAAAAGTTTCCTTTCTACTGATAAATAAGGAAACAATCATTAATAGCTAGAAACTATAGAAGCTTATCTTTGAGTAAAAAAAAAAAAGTGATGAATTTGCTTACAAGAGTTGAATGTAACTGGGAACAAAAAAGAACAAAATAAACAGGAAGGTTGATATTCAGTACAGCTAAGGCCATAATTTTTTCCTCTATCAGTCTAAAACAAAAAATCACTTCATCACATCTAGCAGAAACAGATAATTCCTCACAGCTACGATCAACTTTGTATCAAAAATTATTTCCAAATGTACCTTTGATCTCCTGTGTTTTGACAGTTGATATAATCCAGATATGTATTGGCTGCATTCTAGAAGATGTGGTCCTTCTTCCTTCACCATCCAGATTGTTTTTCTTTTTTTTTTTTGTTGTTGTTGTTTGGTTGGTTTTGTGGAAGACATGAAATTGATAAATTGTTTCCTACAGCCTTCTGTAGAAGTTCTACAGGTCAGAACTTTTACAGAAGTTCTGCTCTGAACTTCTGTAAAAAGTGAGAAATTTTGTAAACTTCAGATCAATTATTTTATTACACTGTCTTTAAAGCATAATTACATTACACCTGCTAGATTTTATCAGAAAGTAGTAACGAAATGTGCCTATTTATGATATTGTATAAAGTATTTCAAGGTACCAAAACAGAATCTTCTATCCAATTTTAAAATCAGTATGGTTTATTTATTTTTTTCATTTCATTTTATTTAACTAAGAGAGTAAACAGGTTGGTAAACTCAGAGAAACAGTTTCAGGAAAAGAAAGCTAGTAACCTGAAGGATGTTTCCCAGCCAACCTCCCTTTGCCTTGGTATGTATGAGGTTGTAGAAGATAGATAAGGAAGTGATGCTAAATACTTAGCATCTAGTCCCTTGTTATTTATTACACCTTTTCTTCCTATTTAAATTAATCCCAATTAAATGGGATTAAGTGGTAATGCTAAATGGTTATTTAATTTTAAAATGCCTTTCCTTGTGACTTTCTTATAGTGAAAGTCACAGCCAAAATAAACTTGCCTGTGAGTGCATGACTGTTGAGTGGAAGCCCTGAGGACAGGGGACATTAATATTAGAAATAGGTAAAACTCTTGTAAGGTCTCTCAAGCCTAAGAAGAGGTCATCTGTAGCTCAGGAAATATCAGAATTCTTCAACTTTCTTATGTTTCTTTATACTTTTCTTTAGGCACCTATTGCCACCATTGTTTATGACAGTGGCTCAATGGGTCTTTGAATTCACCCAGTGTGGCAATTTCTGTAAGTGCACACGCTACTGGAAATGGATGCGTGTAAGAAGGCTGCATGGTAGGACAAAAGTAGTAACACCATTAACTCTGAGAAAGGGAGTATTGCTTGTATTCCCATCATTATCTTCAAGCAAAAAAAATCAAACTGAGCACAGTG